TAATAATATATTAAAAATAAATAAATAATTATTATTATAATAATTATTAATAAATACTTATATATTAATCTAAAAGATGAATTTTTGTATTGGTAATAAATATCATCGTATTAATTTTGTATAATCAGACAATAAATGAAAAAATAAAAAATCTATAGTAAAATAAAAAATAAAAAGGAAAACGTGATCGTATACTCATCGAATCGATCTTGAATGTTCGATTCTTGACGATCTCCTTTCGCAAAGTAAAAGTTCGTCTACCAAGCTATCAGGACAACGCGACTTTTATATACACATATACACGTGTGTGTACACATATGAGTGCGTGCACTAAAAACGATCGAGGTCGTTGATGTCCGTCACTGTTCATACGGGTCAATAGTTAACCTGCTTTCCTATATCGTTACTACGATTTTGACGATACTACACACACGTGCTCATTTTTTTTTCTACGTAAACGTAATAACATTTTACTTATGTGTTTTAGTAGAAAAGAAAAAAGAAAAAGAAAATATTATATAATATTTTGTTTGTAATATGCAATTAATTCGTTGAATAATTGGGATTCCAAATTCATTAATAAATCATTGTAATGTTTAATAATATAAATGAATACGCTCGCATATTGTTTTCTCGAAAATTTCGATCAGGAATTATTTTAATTAAAGATTTTTGTTAATTAATAATTATAGCTATCTATTTAAATTCGATTATTTTATTTTATTTTATATTTTTATTCTCTACGTGATAAATTTATATAATAAAAAAGGTTAAGTAAAAATAGAAATAGTTACAGATAAAATTTAGACAATGTTTCATAGATCATATATATATTTTATACATAAAAATTAAATAATTGAAATGAAAAAAAAAGAAAGAAAGAAAATATAATAAATCGTAAGTTATTTACAAGCGAATACGATATAAAATATAGTTCTCATCTAATATTGTTACTTTCAAAATAGGTACGAATAATTTGTAATACGTTCAATAATTACCATATTCACAACTATGTTACTTTAATGAGTTACTCTCGAATGTTCTAGTTGTATTGATTGCAGGATGAAAATCGATCAGGAAAATGACGCAATCCAATTCATTGACTTTTCCCAATTTTGATTTAGTTTCTAACAGTGTCGAATGTGTATATACGTGTGAATTATTATTACGAAAATGAACTTTTGCTTGTTCTCAAAATAAATTACGTTCGATTTTAATCACATTGTCTTTTCTAAAAGACAGAACTACTACATATATACATATATACATTTCGATCGTTTATCTCGCATGAATGGTTGCACGAATTTACCGGGTTCTTTGTTTTGTAATCCGCTCGTTACACTTTAACAAAGAAAATGTTCTTTAATGTCTTTCCTTATGTTACGCAGGATGGGAATTACGAGGTATACACTGTTACAAGTTCTTCAACATCAGGCATTCCTGGGAAAAAGCGGCGGAACTATGCAGAAGGTGAGCGAACCATGAACACCAATTGGAACCTCGTAAATTATCGAATTAACATATTTGTAAATTATTTATTTCTCTCTCTCTCATTTTTTTTATTATTATTACTATTTTTCTTTTATTTTCTTTTCTTTTCTTTTTCCTATTTTTAAGGAAGGAATATCGTTAATGAAAAAACGATTTCACGTGTTAAATTTTACAGGTACGGAAGCGAGTTGATGGTGGTGGAAAGTTATAGCGAGAACAACATGACTGCAAGTATGGTCGGCCGACATTTGGACCGTTACTGGTTAGGACTCGCCTCGTTGGACGATTTGCGAACTAACACGCTCGAATCGGCCGCAGGAATGCTAGTCTCCCAATACGCTGGTTTGTTCAAAATCTTTTATCTCCTATGAAACTTCTACCCGGAAATAATTTCTAAGCGTTAACTAAGACTAAACGATATATTCGTGTTTCGAGTTATCTTTTAACTTGGTTGAAACGTCATTTAGAAAAAAAATATTTAATATCATTAAATAAATATGTCAACGCGTGTACACAAGATATGAATAAAATGTTCAACGTGTTTTTTAATGTAATTGTTTATTACAAGATAAAAAAAGGAATGTCATAATTTGCTTTCGTAATTTGACATAATCACTATACGATTTTATCGATAATCAAAAAAAAAAAAGTTAAACGAATATTGTAATTTTTCTTTATTTGGTTATTTTCAAGCACCCTAACAATAATTCGTTTAAAATCTGTTATCTTTATTGAACTTCTACCCGGAAATAATTTCGAAGCGTTAATTAGATTAAACGTACACTGTGTTTCCAATTATACTAATTCGACTAAACGTCGTTCAAAACAATATTTAATATTTTAAACAAATATATAATAATTTAGACGACATAAATATAATTGTTTTTATTACGAGATTAAAAAATATAAGATTTTATCGATAATCAAAGAAAAAAAGTTAAACGAATATTGTAATTTTTCTTTATTTGGTTATTTTCAAGCACCCTAACAATAATTCGTTTAAAATCTGTTATCTTTATTGAACTTCTACCCGGAAATAATTTCGAAGCGTTAATTAGATTAAACGTACACTGTGTTTCCAATTATTTTAATTCGGTTAAACGTCGTTCAAAACAATATTTAATATTTTAAACAAATATATAATAATTTAGACGAAATAAATAAAATTGTTTTTACTACGAGATTAAAAAATATAAGATTTTATCGATGATCAAAATGAGAGAGAAAAAGAAAAGTTAAAGGAATATTGTAATTTTTCTTTACTCGGTCATCCTCGGGGTCCCCTTTACGGAAATTAGGAGCAAAACGTTGAAGAGAAGCGAACGTTTATAGACGAGGGCAGGTTTTGTATCGAGGTCGCGCAAACGCGGAACTCGCACGCGGCACGAAGACACACTTTTCCCACAACAATGCCCAGACATCTCCGTTTTACGTCCGCGTACAAGTATACAAGCTTATACTATTTCCTCGTTCGAGTTTCACTCGTTCACCGTTGTTGTTACCCTTTCTACCGAATAACTAGAAGATTTTTACAGTTCCTTCATTTATCCAATTAACTAATTTTATTTTATCACCAAACAGATCTCTAATATCAAATTTTTAAGTTATTTCTTTTATTGATCGTACGAAATATCATGCAAAATTCTCTAACAAATATATTTGCAAATTTTTGTAACGCAAAAAATATTGAATAATGTAATTATAAAAATATATCTTATAAATATATAATTGAGATATTTTTTTGAAAACGATTGTATGAAGAAATATTATCGTGTGAAATATATATATATAAATAAAATGTATATATACGGTGAATTTTGTTAAATATAGAATATTGTTTCTTCATACTCTCCCTTTTACGAGTTCGAGTCATTTCTCTACGAACATCTATCCAATACTATCGAAATAAAATCGATAAAATATAAAATCAAAATAAATAGAACAAAATCTATATAATGTAAATATTTGGTAAAAATGTAGGATTCTGGGCATCCAGGCAACCAAATCCTCAATCAGGAGAATGCGTTGACGTTGCTTTGACGGACGATCGTCAAACTTGGGAATTAACAACCTGCGAATCGCTTCTTCCTTTCATGTGCCGATCAGCAGCTTGTCCAGCCGGTATGTATCATAAAAATATAATGATCTTATTATTTCTTATTTTTCACGTCGGATAAATGTAATTTAATTTTTCCGGAATTATGGCATAAAATAATGTAGAACGTATTATTTCACGTTAGAATTTATGGCGAATCCAAACGTATTATATCTCGTTAATTAAAGTAATTTCTTTGATATTATATACAATACATTCTCTATTTTGAATTATCACGAGATTGTTAGCGAAACGATTAAAAATGTCGCGTAATAAATAAGTTTGTTTAAAAGGTTATTATTCGCGAATATGATCGTTTAAAAAAATCTTTTATATTTTAAATAGGTTCTTTTCACTGTTCGAACGGTAAATGCGTGAACGCTGCTTTCAAGTGTGACAAACAAGATGACTGTGGTGATTATTCAGACGAAATCGATTGTCCGGTTAATTGTCAATTTTACATGGCCAGTAGCGGTGACGTCGTTGAAAGTCCTAATTATCCTCACAAATACGCACCTTTGGCAAATTGCAAGTGGACTTTGGAAGGCCCCCAAGGTCACAACATTCTGTTACAGGTCAGCTACGATCTGACTACTATTTATCTTATTTTAAACAAAAAATAACTCGTAATAAAATAGGTGTCATTTTGTAAAGACGTAAATATTTAGATCTTATTCAAGAATAACTATGCATGATAAATAGATGAACGAATTAAAAAAAAATTAATTGTAAAAGACACGATTAGCCTAGAATCAAATACCCATGTCAAATCAAACTGATCCGCTTTCTGAATAGGCTTTCGTTTACATCTAACGTATATTTCTATTTACTTTAGTTGGAATAAATCGCGAAAGCCTGTTAATTGTTTAAATCATAAAACTGAACTGAACTAAACAATAAAATTGTTTCGTTAGCTTAGAACTTAAAAAAAAAATTGATCCAACTTCTACGAATGATGTTTCCTGTAATTTTCAGTTTCAAGAATTCGAAACGGAAAAGAGCTTCGACATAGTACAGATACTGGTAGGCGGTAGAACCGAAGATAAATCTGTAAATCTAGCAACCCTCTCAGGGAAGCAAGAACTAAGCAATAAGCTCTTCGTTTCGGCCTCGAACTTTATGATCATTAAATTCAGTACCGATGCCTCGGTTGAGAGGAAAGGATTCCGTGCTTCTTGGAAAACCGAGCCGCAAATGTGCGGTGGTATTCTTCGTGCTACTCCTCAAGGACAAGTATTAACATCGCCAGGTTATCCGCAAAATTACCCTGGTGGATTGGAATGTTTATATATCCTGCAAGCTCAACCTGGAAGGATAATGTCTCTTGAGGTATGTCAACAATTTCAAACATTCAATATTAACCGTAAGAAATAATATATAATATCAATTTTGTTTCCCCCCGCCCCACCGGAATTTTAAACAAATAAATATTATTCTCATCCATTGTTTAAGATTGAAGATTTGGATTTAGAAATGAATCGTGATTATATTCTCATACGAGACGGTGATTCGCCGATGAGTCGTCCGATAGCACGTCTAACAGGAAAATCTGAGGATAATCCAACAGTTATCATGTCGACCAGCAACAATCTTTATCTTTATTTCAAAACTAGTCTTGGCGATTCGAGACGTGGTTTCAGTATCTTATACACTCAAGGATGTAAAGCAACCGTCATTGCGAAAAATGGAACAGTTCAATCACCGTCTTACGGTTTAAACGATTACCCTAATAATCAAGAATGTCTGTACAGAGTAAAAAATCCTGACGGAGGACCGCTTTCTTTGAAGTTCGTCAACTTCAATGTTCACAAGACTGATTTTGTACAAGTACGTTGAAATATTAAATAATAATTACAGGTTTTTATATGTGACAGACAATGTATATATTTTGATATAAAATTTTGTAGATATACGATGGTCCAAATACAAATGGATTAAGATTACATCCAGGAAATGGTTTTACTTCTAATACTCGACCAAAAATAACCCTAACCGCTGAGAGCGGAGAAATGTTAGTTAGATTTGCTTCCGATGCTTTGCACAGCAGTACAGGCTGGCAAGCTGCTTTTTCAGCAGGTAAATTTACTATTAATAAATCGAACAGTGATTGATTATAACGATAAATTTCTTTCGCATTGTTATTTTCAATTCTTAATTATATTCGAGTATTGCACACAGTTTGGCCTGTTTAACACGCTCGAATTAACTCGAACGCACAAGTTATGGGGTTAATTATTATGCTTATGGAAAAATAATAAATAAATATTTGATTTTTAGATTGTCCTGCATTGTTACCTGGCGAAGGAGCACTTGCATCGAGTCGGGACACAGCTTTCGGAACGATAGTAACATTTTCGTGCCCGTTAGGACAAGAATTTGCAACGGGAAAGCCAAAAATTACCACGGAATGTTTACCGGGAGGAAATTGGTCGGTCACGTATATACCAAAATGTCAGGAAGTATATTGTGGTCCTGTTCCGCAAATAGATAATGGATTTTCTATTGGTTCGTCAAATGTAACGTATAAAGGATTAGCCACTTATCAATGTTACGCTGGATTTGCATTCCCATCTGGAAGACCTACGGAAAAAATTTCTTGTTTGGCTGATGGTAGATGGGAAAAGAAACCGTCTTGTTTGGGTAAGTTGAAAAAAGTTAGCTAATTTTATTTCATAAAAAATCTAATATCTAAATATCTGATATATATATATATATATATAATATTTATTTTTTGTATTTATATTTTCCAGCATCTCAGTGTGCACCACTTCCAGAAGCACCGCATTCAAATATTACGATTCTTAATGGTGGTGGTCGTAGTTACGGTACCATTGTCAGATTCGAATGTGAACCTGGTTACGTTAGAAGTGGTCATCCGGTGATACTTTGTATGAGCAACGGTACATGGTCCGACGAAGTGCCAACATGTTCTCGTGAGTAGACTTATAAACGATAAAATAAATTTTTAAATGATCATTTAACTAATTATGTATCCATTTATTTGCATTAGGTGCAAAGTGTCCGTTATTACCTACAATAAAGAACGGTTATGTCGTCGACCCAACTAGAGAATATTATTTTAACGATGAAGCTAGGGTACAATGTAACAGAGGTTACAAACTTACCGGAACGAACATTATTCAATGTGGCCCTAATCAATTGTTTGACAATGTACCAACTTGCGAAGGTAATAAAAATAAAACGAATTTTTTTTCATAGCAAAATATTTAAATAAAACAATCGATTATTTTCTTTTCGATAGACATAAACGAGTGTGCAACCAGTCAATGCGATCTAGCTTCAACAGAATGCATTAATAATCCTGGGGCATTCACTTGCAAGTGCAAACCAGGATTCGCTCCAACCATGGAGTGTCGTCCAATAGGTGATCTTGGTTTGATAAATGGTGGTATTCCTGATGAATCTATCACCGTTTCCAGCTCCGAGAATGGATACACGAAATCTGTGAGTAATGCTTACCTAATTTTTATTTGCCTTTATATTCGTGATGTATGATAGTATCCGGTTATAAAAAAAAAAGTTTTTTTTCTCAGGGAGTACGTTTAAACAATGGTGACGGATGGTGCGGTAACAACGTTGAACCCGGTGCAAATTGGGTAATGATCGATATGAAAGCACCAACTATCATTCGTGGTTTTCGTACCCAAGTTGTTGCTAGAGTCGATGGCAATATCGCGTTCACGTCAGCAGTACGTATTCAGTACACAGATGATCTAACGGATACTTTCAAAGATTATACAAATCCCGATGGTACGCCAGTTGAATTCCGAATTTTGGAACCTACTCTATCCGTACTGAACTTACCGGTACCGATCGAGGCACGATACATCAAATTTAGGATGCAAGATTACGTAGGTGCACCTTGTATGAAAATAGAAATAATGGGCTGCACGAGATTGGAATGTACCGATATTAATGAGTGCGCCACGAGAAATGGTGGCTGCCATCAAAAATGTATCAACAATCCTGGTAGTTACTCGTGCATGTGCAATACAGGTTTTGAACTTTACAAAAGTAACGGTACAGCAGGATTTAATATTGAAAAGTCTGAAAATGGTGAAAGGGATGGGGATTTGTATCAGAGAAACAAGACTTGCGTACCTGTAATGTGTCCTGCATTAACTGCACCAGACAATGGGAAAATTTTGTCGACCAAAGTAAGATATCATCAATTTGAGAGAACGTGAAAATTATTATCATTTCAATGACTTCGTACAATTACGATCACATTTAGATATATCATATATTTGTTTATAGAACCAACATCATTTTGGCGACGTAGTTAGATTCCAATGTAACTTTGGTTACGTTTTAGCTGGTTCTACAGCTGTAATTTGTACTTCCAGTGGCATTTGGAACGGTACTACTCCCGAATGTCAATGTAAGTAATACTTGTAATAAAACTAATTTCGAATATTCTAAATCGTTTCTATAACATTTCTGTAAAGTATAATTCTTGTTTCTAATTGCGCGTGTGGTTTTTTATCGAATAAAAACAATGTCGAATATTTAATTTCGTTTTCCTAAACGTTTTTTCCAATTATTATTTTCTGTTAACAGACGCCAAATGTGTTTCGCTACCGGACGACAAAAACGAGGGACTTTCGGTGATTCGTACCGATGAAACAAGCGTTTTGGTTCCATTCAAACAGAACGTAACTTTAAAATGTGGCAGCAACGGACGTTATTTGCGAAATACTGCGACTTCTGGTTTTCGTCAATGCGTTTACGATCCAAAACCAGGTCTGCCGGATTATTGGCTGTCTGGTTTGCAGCCGGCTTGTCCACGTGCTGATTGTGGCAAACCATTGCCAACACCCGGTGCTGAATATGGTCAATACATCGATACTAAATATCAATCATCTTTCTTCTTTGGTTGTCAAGATACGTTTAAGTTAGCGGGACAAACTAATCGTCATGACAATGTTGTACGTTGTCAAGCTAATGGAGTTTGGGACTTTGGTAATTTACGTTGCGAAGGTCCTGTTTGCGAGGATCCTGGAAGACCAAGTGACGGTCATCAAGTAGCTCGCAGTTATGAGCAAGGCTCGGAAGTTCAATTTGGATGCAGTAGACCAGGATATATTCTGATAAATCCACGACCAATCGTTTGTGTTCGAGAACCAGAATGTCGAGTCGTCAAACCACTTGGACTTACGTCTGGACGTATACCTGATTCAGCTATCAATGCAACATCAGAAAGACCAAATTACGAAGCGAGAAACATTCGATTGAACTCCGTTACTGGATGGTGCGGCAAACAGGAAGCCTTTACTTACGTTAACGTGGATCTTGGACAAGTTTACAGAGTCAAGGCAATTCTAGTCAAAGGTGTGGTAACCAATGATATCGTTGGTAGACCCACGGAAATACGTTTCTTTTATAAACAAGCTGAAAGCGAAAATTACGTTGTTTATTTTCCCAATTTCAATCTTACTATGCGTGATCCTGGAAACTATGGTGAACTGGCTATGATTACTTTACCAAAATACGTGCAAGCTCGTTTCGTGATACTTGGTATCGTCAGTTACATGGATAACGCTTGTCTTAAATTCGAACTCATGGGATGTGAAGAACCAGTAGTTGAACCTCTATTAGGTTACGATTATGGTTTCTCACCTTGTGTTGATAATGAACCACCAGTTTTCCAGAACTGTCCTCAGCAACCTATAGTTGTTCAAAAGGGTACCGATGGTGGTTTATTACCAGTAAACTTCACCCAACCTATTGCCATAGACAACAGTGGTAGTATTGCTCGATTAGAAGTTAAACCACAAAGTTTCAGAACACCCATTCGTGTATTCGAAGACACCGTTGTGAAATACGTGGCCTTTGATTACGATGGAAATGTTGCTATTTGCGAAATTAACATAACTGTACCAGGTTAGTCAATCATTTTCGTAAATTTTACATTATTTAAAATATTATTTACATGATTTTTCGGATAAAGGAAATAACTGATTTGTTGGTTGTTATAGATTTAACACCACCCAAACTAAGTTGTCCTCAGAGTTATGTGATCGAACTCGTAGACAGACAAGAAAGTTATTCGGTAAACTTCAATGAAACACGAAGACGTATAAATGCTACTGATGCGTCAGGTCCAGTAAGGGTTACTTTTGTACCAGAACGAGCTATAATACCAATCGGTGGTTTCGAAAACGTGACAGTATATGCTACAGATTCTAGTGGCAATCGTGCCTCCTGTCATTTCCAAGTATCCGTACAAGCAACACCTTGCGTCGACTGGGAATTAAAATCCCCAGCCAATGGTGGTTTAAAATGTGTCCCAGGTGATAAAGGCTTGCAATGCATAGCAACGTGCAAGAATGGTTATAGATTTACCGATGGTGCACCAGTAAAGACCTTCGTTTGTGACATTAACAAACACTGGTCTCCAACTTCAGTCGTTCCAGACTGTGTATCAGAAAGTAAATATTTTGTCTAATTGAAAAATTTTGAAAGTATCAATCGATTTTTCTAACGAATCATTTATCATATTTGTAGATACTCAACAAGCTGATTATCACGTGGTCGCATCAGTAACTTATCGAGCTAATGGTGCAGTATCACGTTCTTGTTTGCCACAATACCAAGACCTAATGACACAATATTATATTAATCTAAATGCTATATTAACTCAACGCTGTTCTGCTATCAATGTCAATATGAATGTATCGTTTGTTAGATCGATGCCTTTCTTATTAGAAGAAAATGTTTTGCAGGTAGGTTCACATTATTATGGTAGATTTATAATCACATTAGTCACAGTTATAACAGAAAACATTTTTTTGTTACACATAGATGGACTTTGTTTTGGTGATCGTTCCCGCTATTCGTCAACCACAAGTATACGATCTATGTGGTTCTACCATAGGATTAATATTCGATCTTTCTGTACCATATGCAAGTAAAGTCATAGAACCTCTGCTTAATGTTTCATCAATTGGAAATCAATGTCCACCATTACGTGCCTTAAAATCATCTATCACGCGAGGATTTACTTGTAGCATTGGTGAAGTACTGAACATGGACACGAACGATGTACCTCGATGTCGTGAGTATTAATATTACATCGAATCTAAATAATAAAATGATTATCTAACTAAAAATAATCTTCAACAATTCTATATTATAGTTCATTGTCCGGCTGGTACTTTCGCTGGTGAACAACAAAAACAATGTACATCCTGTCAAAAAGGTTTCTACCAGAATAGCGATCGTCAAGGTTCATGTTTACGTTGTCCTTTCGGAACATATACAAGAGAAGAAGGTTCCAAGAGTATTGACGACTGTGTTCCAGTATGTGGATATGGTACATATTCGCCAACTGGTCTGGTCCCGTGTTTAGAGTGTCCTAGAAATAGTTACACCGGTGAACCACCAATAGGTGGATACAGAGATTGCCAAACTTGCCCTGCTGGTACATTTACTTATCAACCAGCAGCACCAGGTCGTGATCGTTGTCGAAACAAATGTTCTCCTGGGATGTATTCGGATACAGGATTAGCACCATGTGCTCAATGTCCAAAAGACTTTTTCCAACCTCAGCACGGAGCCACAACATGTATAGAATGTCCTACCAATATGTATACCAACGGACTTGGATCAGTGGGTCGAGAAGAATGCAAGCCAGTGCAGTGTACGGATAGCGTTTGTCAACATGGAGGACTTTGCGTGCCTATGGGACATGGTGTACAATGTATATGCCCAGCTGGTTTCTCTGGAAGACGTTGCGAAATTGATATAGACGAGTGTGCTTCTCAACCTTGTTACAATGGTGCCACGTGTATCGATCTACCTCAAGGTTACAGATGTCAATGTGCTAATGGATACTCTGGTATTAATTGTCAAGAAGAAAAATCCGACTGCAGTAACAATACTTGTCCTGAGAGAGCTATGTGCAAAGACGAGCCTGGCTTTAATAATTACACCTGTCTTTGCAGATCTGGTTATACCGGCGTTGATTGCGACATAACGGTAATTGATTTGATTTTCTTTGTCTTAACCATGATCTAATAATTTATTGTATTATTTTTAAATACGATTGTTAAAAAAACAAAACAAACAAACTTTCTTTTCATATTATAGATTAATCCATGTACGGCTAGCGGGAATCCATGCAATAATGGTGCATCTTGTGTAGCATTACAACAGGGTCGATACAAATGCGAGTGCTTGCCAGGTTGGGAAGGTCAAAGTTGCGAAATCAATACAGATGATTGCGCTGAAAGACCTTGCCTGCTTGGCGCCAATTGCACCGATCTCGTGGCCGATTTCAATTGTAATTGTCCACCCGGATTTACTGGCAAACGTTGTCACGAAAAGATTGATCTTTGTTCTGGAAATCCTTGTCTCAATGGTATATGCGTTGACAAATTGTTCAGTCATGAATGTATCTGCGATCCAGGATGGACCGGTGCAGCTTGTGAAATTAACATCAATGAATGTGCCGGTAAACCTTGTCGTAATAACGGACAATGCCTCGATCAGGTAGATGGCTATACTTGCACCTGCGAGCCAGGATACACTGGCAAACAATGTCAGCATACAATCGATGATTGTGCATCGGATCCATGCCAAAATGGTGCAACGTGTATAGATCAGCTCGAAGGTTTTCTCTGCAAATGTAGACCTGGTTTCGTCGGACTTCAATGCGAAGCTGAGATCGATGAATGCCAAAGTGATCCTTGCAATCCTGTTGGAACGGAACGTTGCGTGGATTTGGACAATACTTTTGTTTGTCAGTGTCGTGAAGGTTACACCGGATCAGCTTGCGAAGTCAACATCAACGATTGTGCTTCCGATCCATGTTTAAACGGTGCTACTTGCAGAGACGAAGTTTCAGGTTTCAAATGTATGTGCCTTGAAGGTTGGTCCGGAGTTCATTGCGAGATCGATGTTGGAATGTGTCAAAATCATCCATGTCAAAACGATGCAGCCTGTGTCGATCTTTTCTTGGATTACTTCTGCGTGTAAGTTTAATTTGAACAAATCGAAAAAACCAACAATTAAAATTCTAATTTATAATATCTATCGTTTTTTTTATATTTTATTAACAGCTGTCCTTCTGGAACTGACGGTAAACAATGCGAAACTGCACCTGAACGTTGTATAGGTAATCCTTGTATGCATCATGGACGTTGTCAAGATTTTGGTTCCGGACTTAACTGCACTTGTCCTGATGACTATACCGGTATTGGTTGTCAGTATGAGTACGATGCTTGCCAAGCTGGCGCATGTAAAAATGGAGCAACTTGTATCGATGATGGCCCTGGTTTTACTTGCATCTGTCCACCAGGCTACACTGGTAAACAAATATTTTCAATACTAATCATATTTAAATATTTCAACATCTTTTTTATTAGTCAGCCGAATTTTAAATCATTATTTTAATTCACAGGTAAAACATGCGAAGATGATATTATTGATTGTAAAGATAATTCTTGTCCACCATCGGCAACGTGTATTGATTTAACTGGAAAGTTCTTCTGTCAATGTCCATTTAATTTAACCGGAGACGATTGTAGGAAATGTAAGTTATGAATAATTTTTATATAAATCTAAATAAATTAATATGTTTCTTTTTTTTACTATTACTAATATTTCAATAATTAACTATTAAATAGCTATACAAGTTGATTATGATTTATACTTCGGTGACCCGGCACGTAGCAGTGCATCACAAATTATTCCATTCTTTACTGGAACAAGAAAGAGTTTGACCGTAGCCATGTGGGTACAATTTACGCAAAAAGATGAGGCTGGTACTTTCTTCACCCTTTATGCCGTAAGGTAAGATCTTTACGACAACATTTAACACATCCAAAATCTAATTAAGTATAAACGAAATATTTTATAACATAACTTTTCGTAATTACAGTTCACCACACGTCCCAACAAATCGTCGACCTATGGTACAAGCCCATAGTAACGGTGTCCAAGTATCACTATTCCATGATTTACAAGATGTCTATTTACCATTCAGAGAATATGCAACTATCAATGATGGCCAATGGCATCATGTTGCTGTTGTCTGGAATGGAGAAAACGGTGGTGAACTCGTATTAATTACTGAAGGTTTAATTGCTAGCAAAACAGAAGGATATGGAAGTGGTAGATCTCTTCCAGCATAGTAAGTAACTTTATCGTGATTTTAATTATTAATTTTTTTTAAATATTATTATAATATTTAATATTTTATCACAGTGCTTGGGCAATATTGGGTAAACCTCAAAGTGAAAATCCGAAAGGATACACGGAATCTGGTTTCCAAGGACACTTGACAAAAGTACAGATTTGGAATCGTGCGCTTCACGTTACGAATGAGATACAGAAACAAGTTAGAGATTGTAGAACCGAACCGGTTCTTTATCAAGGATTAGTTTTGACCTGGGCAGGATACGACGAAACGGTTGGTGGTGTAGAACGCGTAGTTCCATCACACTGTGGACAAAGGGTATGCCCACCTGGTTATGGTGGTAACAAATGCCAACAATTGGAAGCTGATAAAATTCCACCAAAAGTAGAACATTGTCCTGGTGATCTTTGGGTTATCGCTAAAAATGGTTCTTCCATTGTTACTTGGGACGAACCTCGTTTCAGTGACAATGTTGGTATAGTTAAGGTTCAAGAACGAAGTGGTCATAGATCTGGACAAACTTTGTTATGGGGTACTTACGATATCAGTTATGTGGCTTATGACCAAGCCGGAAACTCTGCCAGTTGTAATTTTAAAGTCTATGTATTATGTAAGTTTTCATATTTTGCTTTTTTCATACTTCTATTTATTTTTTCTTGTTGTTTTTCATATTTTTATAATTGTGTTTTGTTTCTTTTTTGAATAGCCGATTTTTGTCCCGAACTTGCTGATCCGATCGGAGGAATGCAACAATGCAAAGATTGGGGTTCCGGTGGTCAATTCAAAGTTTGTGAGATTTCATGTAATCAAGGATTACGATTTTCTCAAGAGGTTCCTAAATTTTATACTTGCGGCGCCGAAGGATTCTGGAGACCTACTTACGATCCTAATTTACCATTGATTTACCCTGCATGTACAAGTAAGAGACTTATGTTTCTATTGATATATTAAAATTGTCAATATACATTTCAAACTTATTTATACGATATCTTTTACAATTGTGTGTGTTTTTTAAGGTTCAACCCCGGCACAACGTGTGTTTAGAATAAAAATGAACTTCCCTACTTCAGTTCTATGTAACGAGGCTGGTCAAGGTGTTCTCAAACAAAAGGTCCGAAATGCTGTCAATTCTCTCAATAGGGATTGGAACTTCTGTTCTTATTCTTACGAAGGTAATTCATCGTGTATAATAATTTTAATATATATAAAATATGTTGTGCTGTTTAAAAAAAGTCGTGACATTTGATCAAGTCTTATCAAAATATATATATATATATATATATATAATTTTTGTTAAAAAATTTTTTTTTAATTTGATGTTCAATTATAAATGTATATATAAAACAATCAACGTGAACTTTTCGAACAAATCATTATTTTTTCAAAATACTTAATAACAAATAAAGTTTATATTAATTGTTAGGTACACGCGAGTGCAAGGATTTGAACATCGACGTTCAGTGTGACCACCGAATAAGAACAACAAGAGAAGCAAGCGAGGAAGACGGTGGAATGTACATTATTTCAGCTGTCGTACCAGCAGAACCGTAAGTTGAAAACACTTGTGTAATCTAATTTCATTCATTTATGTGTTCTTAATTTTTTTTTTTTTTATATTTAATATTTCAAATTCAGGGAATAATATAAGCTTAATAAAAATTTGTTTAGAAAAAATTCGAGATACGAATAAACGTATCACGTATTTTTAAGATTAATAAACCGTAGGCTTTCTTTTTCCTTCTCTATCTATTTATCTCTCTATCTATCTATCTTTCTCTATATCTTTAAACCCAAATATGGATTTAGATAAATTAGTACTGAGTATTTGTTACTTGTTACATCATAGAACGAGACAGGCACGCCAAGGAAGCGATACCTATGAGGTGGAGATCTCGTTCCCAGCGATAAAGTAAGGACAGTTCAATTCGTATGAATTAAATACGAATTGTGTCATATATACAATGACAAAATGCCAACAAAACACGATATCATTTCTAATAATATTCGCCCTCATTCTACAAAAATATTTAAAAAAGACAAAACAAACAAACCCAAATACAGAAAAACAAAATGAAAAAAAAAAAAAAAACCAACAATTATTGCAGATTCATTTACACACGCATATATAGCGATTTAACACGGTGCATGGTCGAGAAGGTACCAAGGATGAAGGATTTATAAACATATAATAGATAAAATGCAAAGCATAAAAAACGGGTTTGCACGTTGTTACTAACTGACTTATGGCAAAACTATTGTTTACCTGATGTAGAATCACATTACGCTAAAAATGAAATTTAATATAAGTACAATAATGATATAACCCGATACTTCTAACTTTTATATAATCCAAGGCCGAGGCTGCTCTATACATTAGATGAATTAATTTTTATAATGTTATATAAACTATACCTCTACACATAATATTTTATATGATCGTTTATTTTTTCTTTTGATAGATACTTTTTTTTAAATTAATAACTAATTTATAATATTATCTTACGATATAACATTTATGATTGCATGATAATGAATGTGATAAAAAAATTTTATTACAATATAATGATTTTTAGGAATCCATTTCAAATATATTTTCTCAATAGATGATACAATACATGATAGTATTATAATTACACTTTTTTATTTCCAACTATTATTGCCGATTACCATTTTGTAATAGACAAATCTGCACCAAAATTTCCCATATTTTACTTTTAAATATATAATATATATAATAGGATAATATGAATATGTATACATGTATACTTTACAATAACAAATTTATACAAATTTCAGAATGTCAACGAATTTTCTAATTACACGTAGGATAATTGTAATTAATCGTCACTAATGGCAGGTTAGCTTGAGGCACGCTTACCCGTGAGATGAGTTTAACCACGAGTTGTTCGTTTTGTTCAACGAACGATCGCCTGAAAACAATAACGGCTGTATATATTGGCGCATACATATACCCTATGCCTGTTGCTATACCCGTTTTATGTGACTTTATTCAAGCAACGCATCGATCAATAACATTCCACTCCTTTATTTGTAGCGATCCTATACTGAATGCCAATTCTAATGAACGAGCGACGGTACAATCCTTACTTGAAAAACTTATCCTCGAGGAAGATCAATTTGACGTACACGATATTTTACCGAACACAGTACCAGACCCAGCGTCATTGACATTAAAGTCCGATTATGCTTGTCCAGTTGGTCAAGTTGTAATGGCACCTGATTGCGGTAAGAATTTAATAATAAATTTAAGAATTTAATAATAATTTAAAAATTTTTAAATAAAATCATAACCATTTTTCCTTTTATATGTAATGATATATCGTTATCAATTTATTAATTATTCTTCGACACACTCGTTATTTCTAACGAATCGATACGTTTTTTATTTTTGTACAGTACCGTGCGCGGTGGGCACTTATTACGAAGAAGAAACTCAACGTTGTGTCTCCTGTCCCGTGGGCACTTATCAAAGTGAATCCGGCCGAACAAAATGCAGCTCGTGTCCTGTAATTGCTGGTCGACCTAGCGTAACTGTTGGAGTTGGTGCACGAAGTGCTGCAGATTGTAAAGAACGATGCCCAGCAGGAAAGTATTACGACGATGCAGCTGGTTTGTGTCGTAGCTGTGGACACGGATTTTATCAACCGAACGAGGGTAGTTTCTCTTGCTTGCTATGCGGTCTTGGAAAAACTACTAGGACAGCAGAAGCTGTTTCTCGCGAAGAATGCAGAGACGAATGCGGTTCTGGACAACAATTAGCCGTTGAAGGCAAATGTGAACCCTGTCCAAGAGGTACCTATCGTACACAAGGTGTTCAAGCATCTTGCCAAGCTTGTCCAGTTGGTAGAACAACCCCAAATGTAGGCTCGGCAGCCATCGAAGAATGTTCTTTACCAGTTTGCGAGCCTGGTACTCATTTGAACGGTACACTTAACGAATGTATACAATGTAAAAAGGGCACTTATCAATCGGAACCTCAACAAACCTTTTGTATACCTTGCCCACCCAACACCAGTACCAAAGGACCAGCAGCAGTGAGTATCAATTAATATATCGTTTTAATAATAATTAAGTCATTCACACGTAATACCAATATAATTTATATCATTTTTCTTAACTATGGTATAAATCCGCTTATTATTAATTAACAGAAACATATTATTATTTAAAAATTTAACATTTATTTTCCTACAGACCAGCAAATTCGATTGCACCAACCCATGCGAGACCAGTGGCGAAGAAATGCATTGCGACGCCAATGCATATTGTTTACTCATACCAGAAACAAGTGACTTCAAATGTGAATGTAAACCGGGATATAACGGTACCGGAACGGAATGTACGGATGTTTGCATGGGATACTGCGACAACGAGGGTCTATGTGTGAAAGATTCCAGAGGACAACCATCTTGCAGGTGTAGCGGTAGTTTCACAGGCAAACATTGCACTGAAAAATCGGAATTCTTTTATATTACCGGTGGTATCGCAGGAGGAGTTATTCTCATCATCTTTGTTGTTCTCTTGGTCTGGATGATCTGCGTTAGGTCAGTTTATAAATAAATAATTAATAAAACAAACAACACACTAATATTTGCTATTACAATTATCGTCTTATACGAAATATCATTTTACAGAGCATCTCGTAAAAAGGAACCTAAGAAAATGCTAACTCCAGCCACCGATCAAAATGGTTCACAAGTAAACTTCTATTACGGTGCACCAACACCTTACGCCGAATCGATAGCACCATCTCATCATAGCACTTATGCTCATTACTATGACGACGAGGAAGACGGCTGGGAAATGCCTAATTTTTATAACGAAACTTATATGAAAGGTCAGTTTATATTACATTGATAAGTTTATTCTACAAATACTTCATATATATAATATTCTTAACATTTTTATTATTTACTTGCAGAAAGCCTACACAATGGAGGAAAGATGAACAGTCTAGCTCGTTCAAATGCAAGTATATACGGCACGAAGGATGATCTGTACGATAGGCTGAAACGTCACGCGTATCCCGGGAAGAAAGGTACAAGTTTGAATGCAGATACACATTGAACCGATTTGAAATAAAAGGACATCAGGGGTTCGTTGTGGTCAGCAAAGTATATATATATATAAAAAAAA